TTTTGGGTTGTAGACTCCGGAGCAACAGACCACATCGCGAGGGACAGAGTAGGGTTCGTTGAGTATCGCCGAGTACCTGCTGGGAGCAGAAAAGTTTACATGGGGAACGAGTCCAGTGTGGAGGTGCTTGGCATTGGCACATTCAAGCTGGAAATGCGACGAGGGCGCACCTTGTATCTTCATGATGTTCTTTATGCTCCGGATATTCGGCGAAACTTAGTTTCAGTTATTAGCATGATGAGCCTTGGTTTTAGCTTTTGTTTTGAGAATAATGGTGTTAGCATTTATTTGGGAACAATTTTTTATGGTTTTGGTTATCTTTCAGATAGTTTTTTAGTTTTGGATGTGGATGATTCTAGTATTAATAAAAATGCCAATAGCTGTTATTCAAAACGTTAGCCTAGTAAAGGAATCACACAAAGAAGCACCTCATCCATGTTTCACACTCAAGTGTGTTTTTTTGTGATAATGATTCTATGAGATGGTATGCTAGATTAGGCCACATAGGGCAAGATAGGATGACTAGATTGGCTAGAGAAGGTTTTTTAGGCCCACTCGCTAGAGTCACTTTGCCTACTTGTGAGCACTGTCTTGCTGGAAAGGCAACAAGGAAACCATTTAGGAAAGTCATAAGGGCATCTATCCCATTACAACTTATTCATTCTGATATATGTGGACCAATGAATGTGAGGGCAAGGCATGAAACCCCTTATTTCATCACATTTATAGATGATTGCACGCGTTTTGGTCATGTCTATTTGATTTCTTACAAGTCAGAAGCATTGGATTGCTTTAGACGGTATGTTAATGAGGTTGGGAATCAATTAGAAAGAGCATTAAGGCTCTAAGGACTGATCGAAGACGTGAGTATCTATCTGAGCAATTTAAAGTGCTCTGTGAGGAAAAAAGAGTTATCAGCAATTGACAATTCCTAGGACTCCGCAACAAAATAGTGTAGCAGAGAGAAGGAATCGCACATTGCTTGACATGGTTAGATCAATGATGGTGCAAGCTAATCTTCCCGTTTCTTATTAGGGAGATACTTTGTTGACTGCTGCCTACATCCTTAATCGTGTGCCCTCCAAATCAGTTCCTTCCACCCCATATGAGATGTGGACTGGCAAAAAGCCTGATTTGGGCAATTTGCGACCTTGGGGTTTGGCAGCTTACATACACAACGCTTCTCATAAGTTTGGGAAGTTGGGCCCTAGAGGAAAGAAGTGTATCTTCATTCGCTATAGCAAACATTCTAAGGGTTACGCATTTATTGGGGAGCATCCGAATAGAAGTGTGACTGAAATTGAGTCACGAGACGTGGATTTCCTAGAAGAGGATTTCCCTAGCAGAGGTGAGGTAACTAGAGAAGTAGAACTCTATGAGATGGAAGATCTACTTGAAGGCGCACCTAGTAGCCTAGTAGAGAATGAGGAAATAATCCCTCAAGCTTCTAGGGACAGTAGGAGTGATTTACCTGCCCATGGATTAGATCCAATGGATGAGGATTCTCAACTACAATTTCCTAAACTATAAACGTAATTTATATTTTAAACAAATTTTAAAAAATATATTTTCAATTTACCTTTTTTTTATAATTTTTTTTGTACAATGGTATCTGGGGCTTTGTGCCAACTAATTCCCAAATACATTAGTCTTTGTGTCACATATACCAAGAAATTACCAAGTAGTCATCATCCAAAAATAATGAAAATGCTAAATTACAATAATTTTTATACAAATATTTATAAATTATGAACATAACAATAGATATTTTGTTTTTAAATAAAAATATCACAACACACCACATCATTCTATATATTATTTGTGTTTGTTTTTTCATATGTCATTGCTTCCGACAAAAAAAATGATTATTCTGCTTAATAATATATATATATAAAAGCATGG